ACACTCCTTCGCGCGCGACGCCCCTCTCACCGCGACGCGACCATTTCGTTCCTAACGCACCACACCCAGTGATCTATGTGTTCAGCCCCTTATGATTACCTGTCAAAATGAAATCATATCGCTGCTGTACGAGTGCTTCTTGATAATGGAAGCTTAATAGTGGCTGAACTGTGAAAATGGGTGGTCATTAATGTTGAGTCAAATATACGTAATCCCAACTTTTCATTCGACATATCCCAAATGGAGTGGAATGTAAAGATAACAATCTGACGTTTGGTTTATACTTCGTCAGTCGGAACAACCTGCTTACAGCCACCTTTTTAGACGACATCGGAATCCCCATTTAATTCAGAACCTTTCAAATTCTCGTTCAAAAGGGGCCCAAATAGTTCTCGGACGATTACGGTATACGTTTAGTGTCGATTGATCTATATCGATCGCTATCACTACCGTAGCTGTGAGAACCTTATAAAATATCTCATTACTCTCTCAGAAATCGAACGCGCATAAAAATCAAATAAGTTTTGAGTACCTATGTATATAGTCGATATTGGTCGGATCGAGTAGCTGGGTCAGATCAACATCGCAACGTAAATCTTAACTTAGCCTACTTCAAATCCCCAAAAGTTTGAAAGTCTACAGGAAGGGGAATGGGCAGTTCCGTGACATATGTAGATATATGCATACATATCTCTGAAGGCGTATTGGAGTCTGAGGTTTTTAAATGATTTTAGAGGACCCCTGCTTTTTGATGCTTTTTAGATCGGCTTTTATCCTTGATTCACTTCGATCCCATCCTCCATATTTTGTCAATTGTAATTTCTCTTATCTATCACCTACACCCCTCGTCCTCAGCCCATCCAAGGTCGGGCTCCTGAAAAAGAATGTCCTTAACGAACCGAGTGTCCCTTGTTCACATCTCTCGCCTGTTTCATTAATTGTTATCGCTTTCTGTCAGCCGTTTCATAAGATCTTATCACATCCCAGATATCATGTTATGTTTTCGAAGATTCGTTAATATTATGAGAAGACTTCGGATCCCGTGGCCCTTGCCCCAGCCCCACCCTTTATCAGTTCTTACTATTCCTTATCACCTTCACTGTTTTGTGGCCTCTCTGAAACTAAAGTGTTCGGGCTAGGAGAGGGTATGAAGTTCCGAACAAACATACAATACAATATACAGTAATCCTACACCAGGCTTTCAGACCTTTTACCCTTCCGGGGTCGTTTGATTGGTAACAGACCCATCTGAGAAGATGAAAGCACTGACTTGGCCACTTCAACTGGCTGTGTATGACACACTAGCATTCAAAACGCCACTGCAATCCTGTATTAAAATCTTGTTGACACCACTAAAATTCGAAATGAAAACCGAATGTGGGCCGTATTTCAAACTGGGATGATCTGCGCGGGAGGCTTTACCCTTTCGTTTGTTCGAACACTGATATGATAGACTGTTAGCCTTAAATTAGTCTTTTTATCTTCTCTCTTACTTTCCCTTTTCTTTTTCCCCTCGTTTCCTGTCGTCAATGTCGATGTGGATGTACGATGAGCATCTAATACATCGACGAGAATAGTTCACTGTCTTGATGTGATAGGTGCTTTTATCAAAGCATGGTGAGTTGAAAATATTCTTTGAGTTGGGCTGAAGATTGTCATTGGTGGAAGGAACTGTAGGAACAGTTTTTTTGCTTCTTGTGATGCGAACAGGTTTCCTGAATGCTATCACACGAGCGCTCGAACAACGTTCTACTTCAGACAAACTCGGACCCTGGCCTGAATTTTTTTAGCAACGTGCCGTCGAATTACCCCAACAAGATCAACTATGTCCCGGCGTCATCAATGTGCTTGCACTGAATGCTTCAGCTATGATGTGGCATTATGATAACGACCCTAATTTCAATCTGACGAGAAGCACCCCCTGCTTCCCCCATCAGTTATTTCGATTTCTGAAGTGAAAGAAGTATTCTGTACTCTACTCTGGGGTTCAAGAAGTCGAGTGCAAGCTTCATGGCGTTCCGACAACGTCGGGGAAGTTATGATTCATCTGTCTGAGTTCGTGCCTTCTGTGNTTTTTTCTCTTTCTATCACTTCTACAATGGACTACACTACTCCTTCATTGGTGGTTTTTCTCTACTCTGGTTCAGTGCTCTGTCAGATTTAATGGGCTGTTGGTATACGTAGGAGGAATAAGAACCCAATGCCCATGATCGTATCCATTTCTTGATCTCCTCTAAGCGAGTAATGTTTATTCACCTTACTCATTTAGATGAACTCGTTAAAGCTTCTCGGTCTCTCTCGCCCCGTTTACAATGCAGTTGTCGCTAGGGTGAGTTTTTTAAATTCAAAGTGGCCTGCTTCCTGTCTGTTGGTGAAAAATTCTTGGGATGGATTGACATACTCATATCCTGAAAACTCCTTCAGTCGCTTGCTTCACATCCTCTAGCTGACCTTCTGGGACGACTGAATCATGTCGCCATTGCTACACCGGATCTTAAGAAGGCTGCACAGTTCTACAAAAACCTTGGAGCGAAAGTCAGCGAGGCTGTGGTGAGTAGCATTTAGTTTTTTCTACAGTAATTAGTTTCTTTTTCAATGAGACAAAGTTCGTTGTTGATCATAATATGCCGCCCATTCTTATAAACTTCAATGATTTTCATTTCAAGTTTAGATGTCCCCTAAATGATCGACTTTTTGAGAAAGTAAAAACATTAGCCCCCCCCCCCCCCAGTCTATGGTAGACCGTGTGCCTTGTATATGGGATACACATCGATACAACTGTAGTCAAAATTAGCGACTGATGGTTGCTGCACACAGAACTCACTATCGGAGAGATTTTAACGTCCTGTAAACATGTACTACAGTGGCCCTCTAGTGCCCCGCCACCCACCTCGTGAGCTTCTATATGTGGCTGGCGTTTGGAGGAGCTTGAGTGTGTGCTCAGGTTACTGTTTTACACATTCGCGGGACGATTGAATCCTTCTTGAAAACTCACCACGTGGGTTCGGAAACAGTTACTGTTCATAAGACGAGGCTGTTTGAGTAATGGTCGGGCCACTGGCTACTGGAGAGCTGTTGAAACTGAAGTCGTGGAACAGGTGGGCGCTCAGTGACGGTCACCACCTCATGGCAGTAGTGCTTGCGCTCTCTATCGCTGCCGCTCTCCAGCGTTCCTGCTCACTTTTCGCTTTCTCTGTGTGAGCCCTATCTCAGTGGTCGTGCCTATGCAACGTCTTTCAGTGTCCCTCGGCGGTGTCTGTCGAGTGTGACCGCAGCCTTGAGCTGCTCACAAATTTGGAAAGGTTACAGGATTGTTGAAGATAAGTAACAAAAGGAGAACAACATGACAAGCTGTTAGAGGGCAAGAGCCGTGTGATCAGTGGTCATTGTACCTGAGGAGGACTGAGTGATTAAGTAGATTGAGCTTCATTTCTGATTCATAAATAAACTACGAAATCCGAAACAGCTTCTTTGTCGGTTGATAATTATGCTCTATTATCAAAAAATTGCCAAATTAGTGAAAGTCGTGATGACCAAATATATGATTTTATCGGTTCTAGACAACATTCGAGAATTCTTTTGCAGGCACAACCTGAGCATGGCGTCTACACAGTGTTCGTTGAACTACCGAACTCAAAACTAGAGCTTCTTCATCCTCATGGTGACAAGTCACCAATCCAGGTGGAGTTTGATAATGAGTTAATTACGCAAATGTTTCATCTCGATAGGTGTTGATGGCTGGTTGGAGTAGGATGCACTACGTTTATTGGACTTACGACCTGACTGGAGAGAGGCCACAACGATGTACCTTCACCCTGCCAGTTTTCCCTCTTTAGGCCTTTACTATGAAAATCCATCTCCCCTTCACAAGGCACAGTTCACTATTGAAACGGCTCCTGATATCCCTCTCTAGAATGAACTTGTCCCCACCATGGATAGTCTAAGCGATGCTGTCGGGGGCCGTAAAATATGCTCCCCCGAACAGGGGAGGGTCCCCTTCCCGGTAAAGTATGCTCTCGGGGAGAACAGAGAGAGAGAGACCCGAATCGG